TCAGAACCAACTCCACGGCACACAACAACAAAGATTTACAGCCTCAGAAACCCTGTACAGGGTCACTGTGGGTTGGAACCAACTCAACGGCACTTAACAACAACATCGTATATATTGAACAAGCCTGGTGGAAGTATACAACCCTGACACATATCTTTTCTGATATTAACCCATGCAGTATCCCCTTGTTCTGTTTGAGTAACTGCCTCTTGGTTGTATGTGCAGGTTCTGAATGAGAACAACTGAGTGTTCTGGGATTCCTAAAACATAAGAACGAAATGGTACCCCCACCAGTATTGTTCCCACCAGAGTAAATACATCCTGTATCCATTGGTTTCAGTAGGATGGGATCCTTTCAGAATAATAACTGATTCACAGTCCATTACAATATGATACATTACTCTAGTATTAACCTCTCGGGTCAGGGTAATGGTCTCATGCTTTGTTCCTAGGGCCGGGAGGTTTCTTCTCCTTCTAAGCCACCCAAGAAGGTGAAGTTTCAGTTTGGAGACACCAGGCACTAACCTGTCTGGTTGGATCAATCTAATTGGCAAAAAAGCCTCCAAGAGGTCTCCAGATTCCATGATCTTGTTGTTAAGTACCACTGAGTCACTTCTGACTCATAGTGACCCTGTATAGGGTTTCTGAGGAATACCTGGTGGGTTTGAACCACAGAACTTGTGATCAGCTACCCGTGTGCCCTGGGAAGTGTGAAGGGCACCTTTTTAGTGGATTAGAGCCGGTGAATAATGTAGAAATTGAGAGGTGTGACCCCCTGGGGTCCTGAAATGCTTGCCTGCCATCCAGCCCTGTTCTGTGAGGATTGGACTAGTTAAGGTTTATCAAAGTGAAATCAATGTACAACTTGGTGTATGTGAGATCATTGTTTGAGGTAAAGAAAGGGACAATTTTTAATTTTATTGTTCTACTTTTATTTAATTATCACATTAATGGTAATTATACTAACTTTCCATTTATACTCATAATACATAGTTCCCTTTGAAAATTAATTTTACCTCAGTACCAAAGTTAACTGTTACTAAACTTTATGTCCCAACCAACAAAGCCAGTTAGGAAGAAATTATTGAAGAATTCTATCAACTTCTGCAGTCTTGATCAAACATGCAATCAAGATGCATTGATAATTTCTGGTGGTTGGAATGCAAAAGTTGGAAACAGAGAGGAAGAATCAGTGGTTGGAAAATACGGCCTTGGTGATAGAAAAGATTCTCGAGATCACATGATAGAATTTTGTAAGACCAATGACTTCATTCATCATGTATATATTTTTCAGCACTATAAACAGGAATCAAATTGACTCAATCTGTGAGAAGACACGGTGGAGACACTCCATCTCATCAGCCAAAACAAGGCCCGGGGCCCACTGTGAAGTGGATCACTAATTGCTCATACATAAATTCAGGCTGAAGCAGAAGAAAATGAAAATAAGTCCAGGAGAGCCAAAATGTGACCTTCACAATATCCCACCTAAATTTTGAGACCATGTCAAGAACAGATCTGATTCATTAGACACTAATGACCAACCAAAGACCAGAAGACTTGTGGGATGACATCAAGAACATCATACAGGAAGAAAGCAAAAGGTGATTAAAGACAGGAAATACCAAAATGGATGCCTGAAGAGACTCTGAAACTTGCTCTTAAACATAGAGACTCTAAAGCAACTGGAAGAAATGGTGAAGTAAAAGAGGTGAATGAAACATTTCAGAGGACAGTTCGAGAAAACAGAGTCAAATATTATAATATGTGCAAAGACCTGCAGTCACATAACAAAGGGTAGAACAAGCTCAGCATTTCACAAACTAAAGAATTGAAGAAAAACATTGAAGCCTTGGGTTGTAGTATTGAAGGATGCCGTGGGCAAAATATTGATCAATGCAGAAAGCATCTAAAGAAGATGGAAGGAACACACAGTCACTGTATCAAAAAGAATTGGTCGATATTCAGTCATTTCAAGAGGAAGCACATGATCAAGAATCAGTGGTACCAAAGGGAGACATCCAAGCTGCCCTGAAAGCACTTATAACAAACAAGACTTCAGGAATTAACAGAATTCAAATAGAAATTTTTCAACAAACCAATGCAGTGTTGTAGGCGCTCCCTCACCTATGCCATGAAGTTTGGAAGACAGCTCCCTGCCCAACTAACTGAAAGAGATCCATATTTGTGTCTATTCAATAGAAAGGTGGCCAAATGGAATGCAAAAATCATCAACCAATATCAATATGATAGCCACGTAACATTTTGCTAAAGATCATTAAAAAACGGTTGCAACAGTATATTGACAGCGATCTGCCAGAAATTCAAGCCAGATTCAGAAGAGGGCATGGAACAAGGGATATAATTTCTGACATCAGCTGGATTTTGGATAAAACCAGAGACTACCAGAAAGATGTGTACTTGTGCTTTATCGACTACACAAAAGCATTCAACTGTGTGGAAAATAAACTCTGGGTCATATTGTTAACAATGAGTATTCCAAAACACTTCAGTGTGCACATGAGGAAGCTGTGCATAGACCAAGAGACACTTGTTAGAACAAAACAAGGGGATAGTGAAGGGGCTTAAAATCAGGAAAGGTATGCACCAGGATTCTATCCTTTCACTATACCTTTGTCAATCTGTATGCTGAGCACATAATCCGAGAATCTGGATTATATAAAGAGGTGGCGTGGGATAGGAGTAAGAGTCATTAACAACCTGTGATGTACAGATGATGCAGCCTTGCTTGCTGGAAACAAATAGGACTTGAAAGACTTGATGAAGATCAAAGACTAAGCCTTCAGTGTAGATTGCACTGCAATATAAAGAAAATGGAAATTCTCACAGCTGGACCAGTAAATTACATCATAATAAATGGAGAAAAGATCGACATTGTCAAAGACTTCCTTTGGTTTGGATTCACAACTAATGCTCCTGGAAGCATCAGTTAAGAAATCAAATGATGTCTCATATTAGGCAAATATGCTGCATCTGGACAATGAATAAGGAAGACCAAAGAACAATTGACGCATTTAAAGTATGGTCTTGGAGATGAAAACAAAGTACCGTGAACTCCCAGAAAAACAAGCAAATCTGTGTGGGAAGAAGTACAGCCAGAATGTTCCTCAGAAGCCAGGATGGCGAGCCTTCATTTCTTTTAGTGTGGACATGTTGTCATCAGGGTCCCGTCCCCAGACAAGGGCATCATGCTTGGAAAAATGAAGGGCCAGCAAAAGAGTCAAACACACCCCAGAAGATTG